AGCTAAAGGATAGTAGAAGGACATTTTGCTTGCTTCCAAGTTTTGGTAATTGTGAATCAAGCTGCTATAAAAATCACATGCAGGTTTTTGTGTGGACATACATTTCCAACTCATTTGGATAAATACCAAGGAACATAATTGTTTGATCATATGGTAAGAGTCTGCTTAGTTTTGTAAGAAACTGCCACATGACCTTCAAAGTGGCTATACCATTTTGTATTGCCACCAACAAGGAATTAGAGTTCCTGTTGCTCCACATCCTCACAGCATTTGGTGTTGTCAACATTTTGGATGTCAGCCATTCTAATAAGTGCATAGTGGTATCTCACTGTTGGTTTAATTTTCATTTTCCTAATGATGAATTATGATGAGTATCATTTCATGTGTTTATTTAACATCTGTAGGTCTGCTTTGGTGAGATGTCTATTTAGATTTTTTGTTTATTTTTAAATTGTGTTGTTTCTTTCTTTTTGTTGAGTTTAATAATTCTTTGAATATTTTGAGAAAAAAGTCATTTTTCCAATATGTATTTGAAATTATTTTTTCCTAGTCTGTGGTTTGTCTTTTTATTATTTTAACAATGTCTATCATAGAGTAGATGTTTTAAATTTTAATAAAGTCAAAAAAATTTTTAATAGTCACTTTATTTATTTTTCCTTTCATGGATGATACTTTTGGTGTTATATCTAAAAATTCATTACCAAATCTAATGTCATTAGATTTTCATCTGTAATGTATATTTTCATCTGTGTTTTCTTCTAGAAGTTGTGTGGTCTTATATTTACATTTAGGTCTATGATCCACTTGGAGTTTTGTGTGTGTGTGTGTGTGTGCACACGTGTGTGTGTAAGATATGAGATCTACATCTAGATCCTTTTTTTTTTTTTGCGTATAAATGTTCAATTGTTCTCCAGATTAGGCAAAGGAGACCTTCCATAATATTGGGAACGAAGTATACATGCGTATAATAGAAGCTGAGGGCCTGGAGCAGATGTGTGTTAGGGAGCAAACTTGGTGGCATTTAATCTTTCCTGGAGATTTTTTTTGGAATAAAAACCTCCATCGAACCCTTGTCGTAACTTACTTAAAAAAATCAATACCAGATTCTTTACTGCACAGTTCCGTTTATATTTCCACTCCTGGAATAGTTTCCAATTTCCACTCTTTTGCGAAAGCATGGAATAGTTTTTAACTGGTTCAGTGAGCTGAACAAATGCCATTAAATAAAACAACATTAAACAACTGCTTTCCTATTCCAGATGAAGAATTTTAAACTTATTTCATATCTTTAGATTGGTGACTCAAAGCTTTCTTTGACTCACCTAACTCCTGCTAGGGAGTGGACTGACTCCAACCTAACTGGACCGCATGACCACCATGAGCATGACAGGCAGCTTTTAGTCTCTGGACTCTGCTCTGGAGTGTTGAGGAGCTAGTGTCACTGCTTTTTTGTACTCCACAGTGAGTCTCAGTCCCAGAGGATGAGGGGCTGTTAATGAAGCATTTGTTATCCAAGGAATATGATGAGAATATATGTATGGGAGGGTTAGGGAGAAGGAAAGTTTTAGGATCTTTTGGCTTTAATTCAAGTAATCGAATAAAGTACTGGCCTTTGTGAACATCTTCTAGGATCCAGGTTATGTGTAGTTGGGAATAAAAAAGATAGGAAACACCATACTGCTCATCAAAATCTAGCTGAGGAGACAAGACATACACACCTGAGAAAGAGAACAGGTAAGGTTATGGTGACTTGCTAATGAGTCATGGCTGCTACATGGTATACATGATGCAGAAAAGGATTGACTTTACCTACAAGCAATGTCGGTAATTCATTGTCTACTGTGTAGGAACCAAATGTGTGTTTAGCAATTTTAATTAATACCCTAACAGCTAGAAAACCAAACTCCCTGGTACATCAGCACGTCCTTAAAATTCTTCACTTTAAAAGCAATTTGGTTTTACCATGGCTTCTCTTACAGTGGTGTCTATGTTAAAGGTCAGAGAAGGTTCACAGTGAAAGGCATTCTGTTTAATGCTCCAATTAAATATAAAAGATAATACTCCTATTCCCTGCTCCCCCACCAATTTCACAGATAAGAAAACTGAGATTCATAGAGGTTAGGTAACTTACTTAAGATTATCCAGCTGCTAAGTCTGCCTTCCTCTAAGGCCTATGTTCTCTCCTTTTTTCCAAACAGGCTCTGGAGGCTGAGCATAAGTGGAAGCAGCAGGATTCCAGTCCAGCAGACACTGACTGGGTACTTGTCTCACCCACCCCCCAAGTATTTGAGAGTTTAGTTTAGGCACTATGTGGTGGAAGATGCTGGGGAGTACTTGCTTCCAACTCTAAGGCCATTTTGTGCTAAATAAAATAAAGTAGCATCATAATAAGACTGTGGATATTATTAATCAGTACACTGTTGAAAGAAAGAGAGGAGAAAGAGAGGAAAGCAAGGAGAAACTCCAAGATAGATGAATTTCTAATTCACTTACTGATCCTGGACTGTCCCAACAACCTTTGCTAGCACCATATCACCGTTACCAGCTAATAATCAGTTTTCTTGATCTTACTGAATAGAAGCAGTTATAACTCTAAAGTTTGGCTATTCATGTGGCAGTACTCATTAATGATAAACAAAGACTCATCTGAACCCAGCACATGGCCCGCTTTGAATTCTGTCTAGAATCAAGTATAAGAGGTCCCCGTATTTTGGGGTATGAGGCAGTCTCATTCTTTTCTTTCTTTTCATCATAATATACAATTTTCGTGTGGTGTCCCTTTCCCATTTTCTTCATCACCTTTTCACGTTCAGCATACACATTCCTATCTCTATGCAGACTATCCCAAACTGCCTTCCCTCTCCCAAAGAAGCATGAGAGAGTTTCCCACCTGTTTTTCTATACAATTTGTCTTTATTTTTCCTGATAGTATTGCTCACATTAAAACACACTGTCTTCTCTTGTAAATGGATTTTGAGTTCTTTAGGATAAGAACTGTCTTTACCATCTCTGTACGCCCAGCACTTAGCAGAGAACCTGGCCATAGCCATAGTTGTACAATCAATGGAAGATGAATGTTGCTTACACCAAGCAGAAAGATCTCATTAAAGGTGAATTAAACATTACGATTTCAGATGGTAAACATACCTGGAAAAATTAACAAGGTAAAGAATAAAATGGCTTAAAATGTTTTACATTGAATTATCTTAAGTTTCTCTGAGGCAATAAAAAGGAAGTTGCTACTAGAGTGAAACTCTCCCTCTGCCACAAGAGATGCAGGATGCACTGAAAGGTCAAGATTGTTCTAGAGCAGTCTACTTTATTCCCCTACTGCTCCTGGAAGCTCACAGTAGACAATTTGACTGGGGCTTGCAGCAAGGCTTGGTACTAAGTATTCAATGGACATTTTTGATAAATACACAAATGAGCGAGCACAGCTTGTCACAATCCCTTCTGCATTTCTGCTCTGGGTGCACTGAAGGAAGCTCTCCTCTTCTCAGTCTTTTTCAAGGCCTTACTCTCAGCATGCCCCTGTATCCTTTTACCATTTCTATCCCTTTAAGGCTTTGTGTGTGTGCATATATGTGTATGTGTGTACATGTACACGTTTGAGAGGAGGAGAATTATCTCAAGGTAGCCTTGGGAAATAAAAATATGAATAACTGTTTTTATTAAAAACCTCAAAGACTTGAAAACTCATATCTGAAAAGGTATTTGTACACTGATGTTCATAGCAGCATTAACCATGGTGGCCAGGACATGGAAGCAACCAAAGTGTCTTACGATAAATAAATGAATGGATAAAGAAGCTGTGGTACATATATACAATGTAATATTACTCAGCAATAAGAAGAGATGAAATATTGACATTTGGGACAACACAGATGGACCTCGAGATAATCATGTTAAATGAAATAAGCCAGACAGAAAAAGTTGAAAAGTGATAATCACACGATATCATTTATATGTGGGATATAAACCTAAAAGCAACAAACCAACAGGACAAACAAACAGAGACCATTGGACATGGACAATAGACTAGTGGTTACCAGAGGGTAAG